GTTCCACGGGTCAAAACACCTCTATAGACAAGTTTTCAGCGAATTTGGTGATCCGAGATGTTCTGGCACCAGAATTACAGGCGCCAAAAGGCGGTTCTAAATTCTAGCGGTAAACGAATGTGATATTCGTGTCTTAGGGTCAAATTACCCATGAAGACAAGTTTCTAGCCGAATCCACAGTCATAGGAAAATTCCGATAAAAACCCGTCTCAGTTCTCGAGGAGTGGGGCAGTAAAGGGTAAATAGGGCCAATTTTTTAAGAAATATTACAAAATAACAGTTAGTGAATAACCTCTCATTGCTCTATACATCACGACGTATGGCGCATGCTTGCAGCCTTGCGGATAGTTGATCGTGTACATACGGCGTTCCTCACTTCTAAAACAAACGAGTGGAAAATCAGAGCAAAATCGTATTTCAGAAGCAGAAACAAATAAATTTAAGAGCAGAACTTTGTAAAAAGTTCCCAATATCTCACCTTCGCTCCAGATTTGTCACTTTCAGAAGCTGCAATCCTAACGATGACAGATATGCAACATAGTCTCCCATCAGAAGGTAAAGAATTTTCGCCTAGAATAACTTTGTATACATATCAATCCCTTTCACCGATTTTTTCATAACTACTTTCAACCAACCTGGCAAGGATCATCGTCATCGACATCGGATCTTATTCGGAACGGTGCTGGTGCTGATGGAGGCACACTGAAAGTTTAAATTTCAAAAGAAGAACAAATACATATTGTCAAATAATTAAGATGGCAATATGATTAGTATTCGCCTACGTCCAACACGGTCGATCAGAATACCCCCCCCCTTCCCATGTAGAGACCGTGTGCAGCCTCCTCATTAACCTACTCAACCTACCGTAGCATTTTCGAGTCAAATTGAGTGGATTTGCCCCTCCCTACTTTACGATTTTGAAGTCAAAATAGCCTATTCTCAGTTTTGCCTTGGCCTGCTTCGGAATCAGGGATATAAAAAGAAAATAGCTATTTTCCCTTCATAGAAAAGATAAGAAAAGGAGAAAAGAGAGGAAATCTGGAAACCCTTCCTATAACGCACTTCACCTATGATCGGTACCCAAACGTGGACAAATTCTAGTTGGACTGGGGACCCCCCAGGAGGCCCGTCGCGCGGCAAGAAGGCAGAGTCGGCGGACGAGTTGCAGCGCGTGATGTGCGATGTAGGACGTGCAGTGGGACACTCTATTTAACTTGACGCGAAATCCCTATAGTACGCGCGCGACTCGTCCGCTGACTTTGCCTTCTTGCCGCGCGACGGGCCTCCTGGGGGTACCCTTGGACTGGATAGGTAACTACTGCATTGCCTGTGACTCGCCTTCGACGCGCCGCCTCGTTAGGGGCTTAATGATCAACATCCCGTCCCAGTAATTACTACAAACTATTCATTGCGCTTATCACACGTGTGAGCGTTTGCATGAATGCTGTGAAAAGTACACAAAACTTGATTTAATGAATATTACAGAAGAATAACTAACCTGAGTGTATTCGCACGCTGGCGTGTCCCAGGTGGCAAAGTTGATGGTCCCGTTGGGATTTTTGTCTTTCGCGGATCCAACTCCACAGTTGCACGCACCTATGTTTTTATACAATGCAATCGACTGTGATAGATATAACGAAGTCAGCAGATTAATTAAATGCAATAAAAACTATCTGGCAATTTCGTGAACAATTAGAAACAAACCTGCCGAACTTCTGCGATATTCCTCCGCCATTTCTGGAAAAACAAGACCGGTGTCTCCACAAAGTGAACAAGTTTACTCGCGGATCGCAGTTTGTCCAAATCAGACTCCTGAAGATTTTCTCTGTGAATGAGATTTTTCAAAAAGAATTTTGTACATGACTTTTTCAAACTTCACTCGCTTTAGCATTCTTAAATCGTCACAATGGTTCTTTACCACCTTTGTGCGCTTTTGCTCT